ACATATACAGAAGGACATCTGACATCATGGAGACAACTAGTAATCCTACCCATAGTTTTTATCTCTTGAATCATTGTGCGTTATGGGCAGAGATTACGTATCAATGCAGATTTTCATATCTACCCTTCAGTCCCACGAATAGGGAAACATTTTGGACAATGACTATCATCCATCTTCTTGAGTCTTAGCAGAAGGTCAAGAGTGTGTAAACATTTTAATTTTGCTCTTATCAATAACCTGTTGGTGATAGGAGGAAACAGGGAATGCTATCACCAAGAACCAAACTGTTCTACCCTGTGGCAAATAATCAAATCCTTCCTGATTTTCTCTAGACATATACAGTCCTAAGTTTAAGAAAAAAAAAACCCTTTTACTCAAAACTAATGTTAAAGATAATTTCCACCTCCTCTTGATGTAAGTTGTTTTATACTTACATAATATAAAAACTGTCATTTTCCTGTAGTCTTAATTAATTTTTGTGTTATTGATTGAGTTAGACAGACAGAAAGGAAAACGAAGTCACTAATGGTCTGTTTGGGATGAGCAGATATGATCTCTGGTTGTAGAATTGTTCTTACAGTGTTGGAGGGTGAGAGAAAGGGGCTGTGTGGTAAGGAGGTATGTAACCTGTGAAGCTGGAAGAGTGGCAGATTCCTCATATGATTAGTGTTACAGGTCTTACTTTTAATGCTTTGTTGAGGAATAAAATACAAATGTGATTAGAAAGAAATAATAGACCACCCAAGTGGATAACTTAAATACAATTCATGTTCTTTCATGCATCCAGACTGTCTTTAAGTCAGCCTTGATCCTGAATTTTATTTATTATGAAAGGATGTGTGATTATCTCATAATCTATGGCTCTTCTACAGAACAAATTGACTGCTTTGTCATAATGGTCAAAAAACTCATTTTTTTTAAAAAAAAACACTCCATTTTCAATGCCCCAGATGATATTTTCTACCCACTGCTCTCTTTTAGCCTACTCTTATCCCTGAAAGTCCCATCCTCCCAACTAGATGCCCCCTACTCTTGTGCCCTATGTTCCCTGTGGATCTCGTGCATGTAGCCACAATGCCGTGTTTATGATAGCCTTGGCTATGTCATATCCAGGAGACAGCATTCCACAGGACTCCGCTCCACCCTTCAGCTCCCACAGTCTCGCCAACTCCTTTTCTATGAGATTCTCTGGGTCTTGAAATGGTAATGTAGATGTCCCAATGAGGACTGATAACTCCCCAATCATTATTATTTGTATTTTCATCAGTTCTGATTTTCTCTGTTAACCATCACCCACTACAAAAAGAGGTTTCTTTAGCAGACGTAGAGCAGACAAATAGTATAAGGTGAGAAATATTTAAAGTCAGTTTGTCTGTTATTTTCAGTAATAAGTTTTCCCTGGAGCCTGTGACATCTCCATAGATTCCCTCCCCAAAGTTTTACAGCATGATATATGAACTTCTCTTTGGGTAGCAATCCCCAAATCCAATCAAATGATGTTTAGTGGGTCCCAAACAGTTATGCTAGGTTATACCAGTGGGAACATCTTGACCAGAAGGTTGGAATTGTAGTATGAAGGATCCATACTTGGATAAAACCATTCATGTGTTTTCTCTTCTATCAGCCCTTATATCTCTCTCCATAATTATGAGGGGGAGGCTTCCAGCTTTGTTTTGGCATGATTTATCAGAGTGCTATAGCTCCAGCATATGGTGCCATTAGCAATAGGATTGTGCCATATGGTTCTGGCAACTATTACTTTTAAGGTTTTAACTGACTTGTGCCCATGTAGAGCAACTTATTTTAAATATTGATGTAGAGTATTTAAAACCACCCTAGTGGTTAGAAAACTCTGTCATAAATGAGCAGATTTGTCATTTTTGGAGTAGTATACAATGACTTAGCATCCCTGTGTTTAGGAGGCAAACACCCATCCTACGGTTAGGTGTCTCTGTTCTCAGTTTGAGTGGGTGCTGGAGGATTCTCTTGTGGTTTCCACTCCTCTTTCCTTTGTGGTGTGGGCTCATGTTTCTACCTGAGATGGGTTCCTGGAATCTGATTATTTCCTGGGTGTGGTGCTGCCATTAGATGCTGAAGCATGCCTCTATGTCAATCCAAATCTTGCCCCTATGAAATGCACGTTCTGGAATTGCCTTCATTCTTTCTTACTGCTGTAGCCTTGGTCAGCACCCTGCATCTGTCTTAAACAGGCCAGCAATCTCCTTGTTGTTTTATCTATTTAACCTTCCTGTGTCTTCTGTTTAGATTGCATGATATTCTAGGAGTTTTGTAAGTCTTACTCTGACATGCCTACCTTTTTTTTTTTGTCACAATTGGGCCTGTACTTTTGGCCTGGTGTCTCAATGACCATCTTTTCCTTTAAATGGCTTAAAGTTTCTTTTCCAAACATTGTCCCCAAAAGATTGTGCCTCGAAGAAATCCTTTTAGAATCACTTGTGCCATTAATGCCCACGTGACAACTCAGTCAAAGTTGGTTTGCACTGTTCTACATGAACAAATTTGGTTATTAGCATTATAGACATACACATACACATATATCATATATAGATATACACATATACCTATATCTTATATACATGATTCACTACTGGAGGTAGAAATTATTTCCTACTTCTCTTTTTCTCTCTATTATGGTTTTTATGGATATAAAAAGATGGAAGGGACGAAGAAGAAAGCCATTCTCTCAACGTAGATTCTAGAGATGGTGCTTGTTCTGGTTTCCAGGTGTGAGTCACCACTATTGGCAGCTTTCTTCCTTGCTTCTTCTGCTAACCCTCAAAGACATATTACATCATCACAGGTTAGAGGTAAGATTAGTGTTGTGGAGGTATGGCAATGACTGTCAGTGTGATTCCAGTAGTAATCAGTGTACTTTTGTCCATGCTGAAATCTACTGAAATGGTTAGTTAGTGCTTGCTAGGACCGATTCTCTGTTTGATTTTATAACCTCAATTAAAAATGAACATTCAAATGACATTGACATTCTTTTTAGAAACATATTCATAAGTATTTATTGAGTGTCTAGTGTGGGGGTATGTATGTGCGTGCTGTGTGAGTATGTGCATGTCTATGTATCTGTGTGCATATGTTTATTATGTGTGCCTATATGTCTGTACATATATATGTGTATGTATGTGTGTGTATATGTGTGAGTATACTGGAAAATAATAGATGAAATAGGAATAGACTAATAACTAAATTCTAGTTTCTGTCCTAAAGGGCTCTGCATTAACCCAATAGAATAAGTGGTCTTGTGAATTAACCTACCATTGCTAGAATATTGAGTTACCACCTGTGTCACTGAAAATAATAAATTTATTATTTTATTCTAGTAGCAGAAATCCAAAGGAGATCTCAGTGGGCTAAGATCAGGCATTTCAGGGAACATTCCTTCTAAGACTCATCCTGGGCAAGGTCCATTGTCCCTGGCCCAGCTTTTGCAAGCTGCTGTTCTCTTGGCCTCTTTACTCATCCTGAAGGCCCAGCACCTGGCAGTGAGTTTGTGGATGTCACATCGTTCTAACCTTGCTTCCATTGTCCCGTTTCCCTTTTGGCTTTGTCTTCTCTTCCCCATTTGAGGGCCCCATAAATCACACTGGCTCCATGAAGACACCGCGGGAATAACCTTTCCACGCCATGTTGAACACATCGTCACCTTCCTCACACAAGGAACATCTTAGCAGTGCTGAGACTGAAGATGTAACCTCTTGAGGGTGACACCGACTGTGCCATATCATGCCTGGGGTGCGATGTGTTATGTGAATAATGGATAGGTGTTTGAGAGTTGGATTGCAGCAGCTCCTTTGGATGGGGTTGAGAGCAAACTCTCAGCACTGATCCCAGAAAGTGGGCTCCACACATCAGCACAGTGGCTAAAGAATGTCATTTTTTTTCTTGTCCTTCTTAAAGAGGATTAGAGATTCTGTGCAGGGAGGTGGGAACTTTCCGAACTATCATTGTTACCGGGGTTTGAGGTTCTTGTGATTTCTGTCAAATGAGTTCACACAGGGCAGAGCCTCATGTTGAAGTCAGAGTTCATTCCAGAATAGCACAAGGCATTTATAAGAGTGAGAGCAGGCAGTGGCTCAAGAGACTGTTGCAGAGAAAACACTCTCGTGGGTCAAGAGCTGACAATAGCCAAAGGAACTATTGTACCAATTTATATGTTTAGGAGGGCTTATACCATTCTTAAAGTTTCTGCAATAGGCAGCTTAGATAAGTCACATCTTGAATTGGGATGTATGCCTCTCAGGTCCTCAGCCACAATGGCAATGGCAGAGCTTAGTGTGGCCCAGCAGCTTAGAAGAGCACCAGTGTTGCTCTCCCACACATGTTGGTGAGGGGTTTCTGTCCTGCCCAGTTCCCACAGTCATTAAGTCCCAAAGAAATCACACAGAGGTCTACATTAACTATAAACCGGTTGGCCCATTAGCTCAGGCTTTGTATTAACTATTATAATGTATATTAGTTCATTATTCTTGTCTTTGTTAGCCACATGACTCAGTACTTTTTTAGTGAGGCAGTCACATCTTGCTTTTTCTTTGGCAGAGTCACAACTGTCAAGGAATGCACTTTCTTCTTCCCAGAATTCTCATTGCCCCGCCTCTACTTCCTGTCTGGTTGTCCCTCCTATACTTCCTGCCTGACTACTGACCAATCAGCGTTTACTTAAAATATAATTAACAGAATACAGAAAATTGTCCCACACAGATATGTCTTCAGAGTTGGCACATTCTGAAGGAGGGTGTTTTTACAGTTTATGGGGAATATGACCCTTGTGGTCTCACTTCTAGTTGGAAAGAGGACAAGAACTCAGCAAGCGTGGCCAGGGCGTACCTGTTACTTCACTGGACAAAGAACTTAGCACTTCATGGGGCAGTAGGCCAGCCAAGAACAAGCTCTTTCCTTAGTAACAGTTTATATTCATTTATTTGTCTCTTCATTGGCCTATATACTTAAAAAGATTTTGTTTGATGCAGGTGATTCGCGGATGTATGATGCAGATTTCCGCGGACCCACTGCCGACAGGTAAGCAGCTCTTTCCTAGTGAATGCATGTTTCTAAACGAACACCCAAGTTAATTTTGTGTACATCATTTTATAACTCATGGAGAATTTTATCTATCTTCAGGGACAAATACCTCAGTACTGACTGAATGTAACCTTATTTACCTAGGGAAAGTACAGAAAACAAATCTCTCCTGGAGTCCTGAACATTGTTCATTCAGCAAATGATCTGCCTTTAGTTACTAGACTGACAGTCTGTATTCACCAAAAGAGAAACCTTGAGAAATGCTTTATGTATCTTCCCCACCCTGTGGAGATGCTGACTCATTCAGATGGTTATGGCTTGTGTCTGTGGACTCCGTGACTCACAGTGGCCAATGCAGAGTTGCTATGCCAACCTCTCCATGCCAGGCATATGTGCCACTCAGCTTCCAGAAACAGGACACTTCTCAGAGACCACCATTCTCCGAGGAATCATGGATCTTTAGGATATGAGAGTCTCTCAGGGGAATAAACACATCTTTGCTTGTTCTCCCCTCCCCCACCATTGCATGACATTTCAATTTCAGCCAATAATTTAACCCTCTTATCATTTATCCTCTCCTCTAGTCTCAGGCTTACAGCTAATCAGAGACAGCACTGCTGGGGACAGCTACAGGACAGGGCAGGCTGCTGGGGACAGCTACAGGACAGGG